TCCCGGGTGCTGCCATCTTCACCAGGTCTTCCTTCTGAGTTAGTGAACTCCAGCTCCATGAATGGCCGGAGCCATGATGACGTCACTACCGCGCATGTGCTTGGGAGCCCTGGCTACCGGCACGGAGCTCTGAAGGTCCGGCATGGATATGCTGTCCAGCGCTGCGCTGTCATGGCTCCCAGGTGCTGCCATCTTCACCAGGTCTTCCTTCTGAGTTAGTGAACTCCAGCTCCATGAATGGCCGGAGCCGTGATGACGTCACTACCGCGCATGTGCTTGGGAGCCCTGGCTACCGACACGGATATGCTGTCCAGCGCTGCGCTGTCATGGCTCCCGGGTGCTGCCATCTTCGCCAGGTCTTCCTTCTGAGTTAGTGAACTCCAGCTCCATGAATGGCCGGAGCCGTGATGATGTCACTACCGCGCATGTGCTTGGGAGCCCTGGCTACCGGCACGGAGTTCTGAAGGTCCGGCATGGCTATGCCGTCCCTTCAGAACACATGGGCCGGGGACAACACCAGCTGCACGCGTGTGAATATCCCCACAGCAGTGCAAGTTTAGGAGATAGTCACTGTACCTGCAGTTAAGCCCAATTAGAGGTACAACATAAAAGGGGAATAAGAGAATTAAAAAACAAAAAAGAAAAAAAAAAAAACAAAAAACTTTGCGGTTGCAGAATTGCTGCATTCTAGGCTCCATTCTGGGTGTCAAGGGTCTTTCCACAGACCGGAAACAATCTGATTTCAGCCCACATACAGGGAAGAGAGCTCCTCCAACTTTGTACTGACCGCTTCCTACCTGACACCTTGTTCTGGGCGAGTCCCTGGTACGCGTCTGTCCGCTTCAGCCTGCAAGCGCCATCGTTCAGCTTAAACGTGATACTCGTCTGGACGGTTGTAACATCTATAAGTAAAAAAGAACATGGAACTTGTTTTACCAGAACCAGAGAGACAGAGAATTTCAATTCAATTATTAAAAAAAAAAAATAACTGACATGAAAAAACCCCGCCGGCGTTCCTGGCTCCTCCCCCCTTACCAGTGACACCCCCCCCCCCCTCCCTCCTCACTGGCTGTGATTGGCAGCAACAGAAGCCAATGGCTCCCCCTGCTGCCTCTCTGTCCAGTGAGGAGAGAGCCGCTGCTCTCAGGCACAGCTCTGGATCAAGATCGAACTCAGGTAAGTACAGTGCCTTGAAAAAGCATCCATACCCCTTGACATTTTTTCACATTTTGTTTTTCAAAATTTTGTACAAATAAATATCTTAAAAAAGTGGCGTGCTTTTGTATTCAGCCCCCTTTACTGTGATACCCCTAACTAAAATCTAGTGGAACCAATTGCCTTCAGAAGTCGCCTAATTAGTAAATAGAGTCCCCCTGTGTGTCATGTAATCTCAGTATAAATCCAGCTGTTCTGTGAGGCCCTCAGACGTTTGTTAGAGAACATTACTGAACAAACAGCATCATGAAGGCCAAGGAACACTCCAGACAGGTCAGGGATAAAGTTGTGGGGAGGTTTAAAAGCAGGGTTAGGTTGTAAAAAAATCTCCCAAGCTTTGAACATCTCACGGAGCACTGTGTTCAATCCATCATCCAAAATGGAAAGAGTACGGCACAACTGCCAACCTACCAAGACATGGCCGTCCACCTAAACTGACAGGCCGGGCAAGGAGAGCATTCATCAAAGAAGCAGCCGAGAGGCTCATGGGAACTCTGGAGGAGCTGCAGAGATCACAGCTGAGGGGGGAGAATCTGTCCTCAGGACAACTATTAGTCGTCACTCCACAAATCTGTCCTTTATGGAAGAGTGACAAGAAGGGAGCCATTGTTGGAGGAAAGCCATAAGAAGTCCCGTGTGCAGTCTGGGAGAAGCCATGTGGGGGACACAGCAAACAAGTGAAAGAAGGGGCTCTGGTCAGAGAAGACCAAAATGGGACTTTATGGCATAAAAGCAAAGCACTATATGTGGCAGAAAACTAACACTGCCCATCCCCCTGAACACACCATCCCCACCGTGAAACATGGTGGTGGCAGCATCATGTGGTGGGGATGCCTTTCTTCAGCAGGGACAGGGAAGCTGGTCAGAGTTGATGGGAAGATGGATGGAGCCAAATACAGGGCAATCTTAGAAGAAAAGTCTGCAGAAGACTTGAGACCGGGGCGGAGGTTCCCCTTCCAGCAGGACAACGACCCGAAACATCCAGCCAGACCTACAATGGAATGGTTCCGATCAAAGCATCTTCCTGTGTTAGAATGACCCAGTCACAGTCCAGACCCAAATCCAATGGAGAATCTGTGGCCAGACCTGAAAATTGCTGTTCCCAGACGCCCTCCATCCAATCTGACAGCTTGAGGGATTCTGCAAAGAAGAACGGGCAGAAATGTCCCTCTCTAGATGTGCAAAGAGACATCCCCAAAAAGACTTGCAGCTGGAATTGCAGCCAAAGGGGGTCCTACAAAGTATTGACTCCGGGGGGCCGAATACAAATCCCGCCACACTTCTCACAGATTTATTGGTCACAAATGTTGGAAACCATTTCTCATTTTCCTTCCACTTCACAATTATGTGCCACTTTGTGTCGTCCATCACATCCAATCCCGATAGATACATTGTAACATGGGGGGGGATACATTGTAACATGACAACATGGGGAGGGGGGGGGTACATTGTAACATGACAACATGGGGAGGGGGGGTACATTGTAACATGACAACATGGGGGGATACATTGTAACATGACAACATGGGGGACATTTCAGGGGGGAGGAAATACATTGTAACATGACAACATGGGGGGGGATACATTGTAACATGATAACATGGGGGGGGGGATACATTGTAACATGACAACATGGGGGGGATACATTGTAACATGACATGGGGGGGACATTGTAACATGACAACATGGGGGGGGACATTTCAGAGGGGGGGGGAGGTAAATACAACATTGGGGGGGATACATTGTAACATGACAACATGGGGGACATTTCAGGGGGGGATACATTGTAACATGACAACATGGGGGGGGGGATACATTGTAACATGATAACATGGGGGGGGATACATTGTAACATGACAACATGGGGGGGGGATACATTGTAACATGATAACATGGGGGGGGGGATACATTGTAACATGATAACATGGGGGGGGGATACATTGTAACATGACAACATGGGGGGGGGGGGATACATTGTAACATGACAACATGGGGGGGTACATTGTAACATGACAACATGGGGGGGGGGGGGGGAATACATTGTAACATGACAACATGGGGGGGGATACATTGCAACATGACAACATGGGGGGGAGGGGGAACACATTGTAACATGACAACATGGGGGGCATTTCAGGGGGAGGAAATACATTGTAACATGACAACATGGGGGCATTTCGGGGGGGAGGGGAATACATTGTAACATGACAACATGGGGGACATTTCGGGGGGGGAGGGGAATACATTGTAACATGACAACATGGGGGACATTTGGGGGGGGGAGGGGAATACATTGTAACATGACAACATGGGGGACATTTCGGGGGGTGACTTTTACAGAGGTGACCACACTAAAAGAACGGTAAGACGGAATGAACGGCGATGGTCTCTTCCCCGAGCAGACAAATACATGGCTGGAAGGTCGGAGTTTCCTAGGCAGACAAATATAGATCTGCAGGAAGGAACAAGCCCGGCTCTGTTATCTCACACTCTGTAATTACCATCAAATCAGCGATAACCATTTTTGAAACAACAACAAAAAATAAAAGAAGATTTTAATCTCCGAGAAGTTTTCTGCTGAAGTGTATAACGGCGAGACGTGAGATCAGCAAACATTTCATAACAGATCCATACGGGAGCCAAGAGCCACCAATTCACGACCTGTGTGCCGATGTTCTGGTGTAAGCCTGGTCACATTCCCTATATCCACTCCCCCCGGACCCCGCATTCACTATATCCACTCCCCCCGGACCCCGCATTCACTATATCCACTCCCCCCGGACCCCGCATTCACTATATCCCTCTCCCCCCGGACCCCGCATTCACTATATATCCACTCCCCCCGGACCCCGCATTCACTATATCCACTCCCCCCGGACCCCGCATTCACTATATCCACTCCCCCCGGACCCCGCATTCACTATATCCTCTCCCCCCGGACCCCGCATTCCCTATATCCACTCCCCCCGGACCCCACATTCACTATATCCGCTCTCCCCCGGACCCCGCATTCACTATATCCGCTCTCCCCGGACCCCGCATTCCCTATATCCACTCCCCCCGGACCCCCACATTCACTATATCCGCTCTCCCCGGACCCCACATTCCCTATATCCACTCCCCCCCGGACCCCGCATTCCCTATATCCACTCTCCCCCGGACCCCGCATTCACTATATCCGCTCTCCCCGGTCCCCGCATTCACTATATCCGCTCTCCCCGGACCCCGCATTCACTATATCCGCTCTCCCCGGACCCCGCATTCACTATATCCGCTCTCCCCGGACCCCACACATTCCCTATATCCACTCCCCCCGGACCCAACATTCACTATATCCTCTCCCCCCGGACCCCGCATTCACTATATCCGCTCTCCCCGGACCCCGCATTCCCTATATCCACTCCCCCCGGACCCCACATTCACTATATCCGCTCTCCCCCGACCCCACATTCCCTATATCCAAACCCCCCCCGGACCCCGCATTCCCTATATCCACTCCCCCCCGGACCCCGCATTCACTATATCCACTCCCCCCGGACCCCACATTCACTATATCCGCTCTCCCCCCCGGACCCCACATTCCCTATATCCACTCCCCCCGGACCCCGCATTCCCTATATCCACTCCCCCCCGGACCCCACATTCACTATATCCGCTCTCCCCGGACCCCACATTCCCTATATCCACTCTCCCCGGACCCCGCATTCACTATATCCAGTCTCCCCGGACCCCGCATTCACTATATCCGCTCTCCCCCGGTCCCCGCATTCACTATATCCGCTCTCCCCGGACCCCGCATTCACTATATCCGCTCTCCCCCGGACCCCGCATTCACTATATCCGCTCTCCCCGGACCCCGCATTCACTATATCCGCTCTCCCCGGACCCCACATTCCCTATATCCACTCCCCCCAGGACCCCGCATTCCCTATATCCACTCCCCCCGGACCCCACATTCACTATATCCGCTCTCCCCGGACCCCACATTCCCTATATCCACTCTCCCCGGACCCCGCATTCACTATATCCAGTCTCCCCGGACCCCGCATTCACTATATCCGCTCTCCCCGGACCCCGCATTCACTATATCCACTCCCCCCGGACCCCGCATTCACTATATCCTCTCTCCCCGGACCCCGCATTCACTATATCCCACTCCCCCCGGACCCCACATTCACTATATCCCACTCCCCCCGGACCCCGCATTCACTATATCCTCTCTCCCCGGACCCCGCATTCACTATATCCGCTCTCCCCGGACCCCGCATTCACTATATCCACTCCCCCCGGACCCCCACATTCACTATATCCACTCCCCCCGGACCCCACATTCACTATATCCTCTCTCCCCGGACCCCGCATTCACTATATCCGCTCTCCCCGGACCCCGCATTCACTATATCCACTCCCCCCGGACCCCGCATTCACTATATCCTCTCTCCCCGGACCCCGCATTCACTATATCCTCTCTCCCCGGACCCCGCATTCACTATATCCGCTCTCCCCGGACCCCGCATTCACTATATCCCGTCTCCCCGGACCCCGCATTCACTATATCCGCTCTCCCCGGACCCCGCATTCACTATATCCGCTCTCCCCGGACCCCGCATTCACTATATCCACTCTCCCCGGACCCCGCATTCACTATATCCGCTCTCCCCGGACCCCACATTCCCTATATCCACTCCCCCCGGACCCCGCATTCCCTATATCCACTCCCCCCGGACCCCCACATTCACTATATCCGCTCTCCCCGGACCCCACATTCCCTATATCCACTCTCCCCGGACCCCGCATTGACTATATCCAGTCTCCCCGGACCCCCGCATTCACTATATCCGCTCTCCCCGGACCCCGCATTCACTATATCCACTCCCCCCGGACCCCGCATTCACTATATCCTCTCTCCCCGGACCCCGCATTCACTATATCCACTCCCCGGACCCCACATTCACTATATCCACTCCCCCCGGACCCCGCATTCACTATATCCTCTCTCCCCGGACCCCGCATTCACTATATCCGCTCTCCCCGGACCCCGCATTCACTATATCCACTCCCCCCGGACCCCACATTCACTATATCCACTCCCCCCCCAGGACCCCACATTCACTATATCCTCTCTCCCCGGACCCCGCATTCACTATATCCGCTCTCCCCGGACCCCGCATTCACTATATCCACTCCCCCCGGACCCCGCATTCACTATATCCTCTCTCCCCGGACCCCGCATTCACTATATCCTCTCTCCCCGGACCCCCGCATTCACTATATCCGCTCTCCCCGGACCCCGCATTCACTATATCCCGTCTCCCCGGACCCCGCATTCACTATATCCGCTCTCCCCGGACCATGCATTCACTATATCCGCTCTCCCCGGACCCCGCATTCACTATATCCGCTCTCCCGGACCCCGCATTCACTATATCCGCTCTCCCCGGACCCCGCATTCACTATATCTGCTCTCCCCAGACCCCGCATTCACTATATCCGCTCTCCCCGCACCCCGCATTCACTATATCCGCTCCCCCCGGACCCCGCATTCACTATATCCGCTCTCCCCGGACCCCGCATTCACTATATCCGCTCCTGCCCGGACCCCGCATTCACTATATCTGCTCTCCCCGGACCCCACATTCACTATATCCGCTCTCCCCGGTCCCCGCATTCACTATATCCGCTCTCCCCGGACCCCGCATTCACTATATCCGCTCTCCCCGGACCCCGCATTCACTATATCCGCTCTCCCCGGGACCCCGCATTCACTATATCCGCTCTCCCCGGTCCCTGCATTCACTATATCCGCTCTCCCCCGGACCCCGCATTCACTATATCCGCTCTCCCCGGACCCCGCATTCACTATATCCGCTCTCCCCGGACCCCGCATTCACTATATCCGCTCCCCCCGGACCCCGCATTCACTATATCCGCTCTCCCCGGACCCCGCATTCACTATATCCGCTCTCCCCGGACCCCGCATTCACTATATCCGCTCTCCCCGGACCCCGCATTCACTATATCCGCTCTCTCCCGGACCCCGCATTCACTATATCCGCTCTCCCCGGACCCCGCATTCACTATATCCGCTCTCCCCGGACCCCGCATTCACTATATCCGCTCTCCCCGGACCCCGCATTCACTATATCCGCTCTCCCCGGACCCCGCATTCACTATATCCGCTCTCCCCGACCCCGCATTCACTATATCCACTCTCCCCCGGACCCCGCATTCACTATATCCGCTCTCCCCCGGACCATGCATTCACTATATCCGCTCTCCCCGGACCCCGCATTCACTATATCCGCTCTCCCGGACCCCGCATTCACTATATCCGCTCTCCCCAGACCCCGCATTCACTATATCCGCTCTCCCCGGACCCCGCATTCACTATATCCGCTCTCCCCGGACCCCGCATTCACTATATCCGCTCTCCCCGGACCCCGCATTCACTATATCCGCTCTCCCCAGACCCCACATTCACTATATCCGCTCTCCCCCAGACCCCACATTCACTATATCCGCTCTCCCCGGACCCCGCATTCACTATATCCGCTCTCCCCGGACCCCGCATTCACTATATCCGCTCTCCCCGGACCCCGCATTCACTATATCCGCTCTCCCCGGACCCCGCATTCACTATATCCGCTCTCCCCGGACCCCGCATTCACTATATCCGCTCTCCCCGGACCCCGCATTCACTATATCCGCTCTCCCCCAGGACCCCGCATTCACTATATCCGCTCTCCCCGGACCCCACATTCAATATATCCGCTCTCCCAGACCCCGCATTCACTATATCCGCTCTCCCCGGACCCCGCATTCACTATATCCGCTCTCCCCGGACCCCGCATTCACTATATCCGCTCTCCCCGGACCCCGCATTCATTCACTATATCCGCTCTCCCCGGACCCCGCATTCACTATATCCGCTCGCCCCCAGGACCCCGCATTCACTATATCCGCTCTCCCCGGACCCCGCATTCACTATATCCGCTCTCCCCGGACCCCGCATTCACTATATCCGCTCTCCCCAGACCCCACATTCAATATATCCGCTCTCCCCAGACCCCACATTCAATATATCCGCTCTCCCCGGACCCCGCATTCACTATATCCGCTCTCCCCGGACCCCGCATTCACTATATCCGCTCTCCCCGGACCCCGCATTCACTATATCCGCTCTCCCTGGACCCCGCATTCACTATATTCGCTCTCCCCGGACCCCGCATTCACTATATCCGCTCTCCCCGGACCCTGCATTCACTATATCCGCTCTCCCCGGACCCCGCATTCACTATATCCGCTCTCCCCGGACCCCGCATTCACTATATCCGCTCTCCCCGGACCCAGCATTCACTATATCCGCTCTCCCCCGGACCCCGCATTCACTATATCCGCTCTCCCCGGACCCCGCATTCACTATATCCGCTCTCCCCAAACCCTGCATTCACTATTGCTGCTCTCCCCGGACCCCGCATTCACTATATCCGCTCTCTCCGGACCCCGCATTCACTATATACACTCTCCCCGGACCCCGCATTCACTATATCCACTCTCCCCAGACCCCGCATTCACTAGATCCGCTCTCCCGGGACCCCGCATTCACTATATCCACTCTCCCCGGACCCCGCATTCACTATATCCGCTCTCCCCGGACCCCGCATTCACTATATCCGCTCTCCCCGGACCCCGCATTCACTATATACGCTCTACCGGGACCCCGCATTCACTATATCCGCTCTCCCCGGACCCCGCATTCACTATATCCGCTCTCCCCAGACCCCGCATTCACTATATACACTCTCCCGGGACCCCGCATTCACTATATCCGCTCTCCCCGGGACCCCGCATTCACTATATCCACTCTCCCCCGGACCCCGCATTCACTATATCCGCTCTCCCGGGACCCCGCATTCACTATATCCACTCTCCCCGGACCCCGCATTCACTATATCCACTCTCCCCGGACCCCGCATTCACTATATCTGCTCTCCCCCGGACCCCGCATTCACTATATCCGCTCTCCCCGGACCCCGCATTCACTATATCCACTCTCCCCGGACCCCGCATTCACTATATCCACTCTCCCCGGACCCCGCATTCACTATATCTGGTCTCCCCGGACCCCGCATTCACTATATCTGGTCTCCCCGGACCCCGCATTCACTATATCTGGTCTCCCACAGTACACAGAACATGGAAATGCAATTATTTTAGTAAATGTAAACTGCTAAATCCCTTTTCTCATCAGCAGTATATAGCAGTCTTGTGACTTCTATCAGAGTCCAGCAGAGCACTGGTAAAAGCTTATAGGAGGAGTTTTCATTCTCCCCTGACTGTCCTATGAGGCTGCAGGACCCCTAAACTCTGTCTGGACAGTGCTGATTGGCCCTGTGCTGATCACAGCACTCTCTGAAGAAAAAAACTCTCTAGCAATACACACCAAACTGAGCATGTGAAGCTTGCCCCCAAGCCTCCGTTCTGTCAGGAGACATATTGAAGACAGTAGAAGAAGGGGAGAATCAGAGAAGACAGGATCAAGAGCATTAACCCCTTGGGTTCCACAGTGAGTATAGCAAGCATGCTTTGCTGCATATACAGACTGATTTTATTGTTGTGGGTTTAGTAACACTTTCATTCCTGGAATCCACCTGCCCTTAGCTAAGGCATGGAGGCAGAAGGGTGTGCTTAGCTGAGAAAGCCCCTCCTCTCATGAAGAATTCTGGGATGTATGACATCATTTTGGCTTAGGCCAGAAACCAGGAAGACGCTGAAGAAATGTTAAAAAGTGTTTAAAACAAGAAAATATAATATACCTTCCTATCCATGTACTAATACTAGCAGCCAGGGGCGGACTGACAACTCCTGGGGCCCCCGGGCAATAGGGGATCATGGGGCCCCTGTGTCCTTGCCCAAACTCAAAAAAGCCTATGAAAAAGGTACCAGGGGCATCTCATGGGGCCCCCTACTGACTCCGGGCCCTCGGGCAGTGCCCGACTTTCCAAATGGTCAGTCCGCCCCTGCTAGCAGCGGAATAAAACAATGGTTTCCTATGTGTCTCATTGACACCAAAACATAGGTGTGATATCCAGTGTGGAGCGGTGCAGAGAGGTGCGGTGCAGAGAGGAGCGGTGCGGAGCGGTGCAGAGAGGT